TCTCTCTCTCTCTCTCTCTCTCTCTCTCTCTCTCTCTCTCTCTCTCTCTCTCTCTCTCTCTCTCTCTCTTACAGGCTGGGGAAACAGTCCCAAAGGTTGCAAAGAAATGATTTTAACTCTTATAGTGGCCCTTCCCCAACCTCTGTGAGTCCTGTGGGTGCAAAGGCTGGGCCACTGTTTTTACTCAGAAGACTAGAAAAGTCCTATTGCTGAGTGGTAGCAATTCCTACACCCCTTATGAGGGACACTCACTGCCCTTGGGCCCATGACCCTGCCCAAGACTGGTTAAAAGCATGGGAGCCTGCCTGGGTCCAAATCTCTCTTCTCCCATTCACCAGCTCTGTGACAACTCTTTGGGCTGCCAGTTACTAATTTGTAAAATGGGGTGGTAATGATAGCACCTACCCCAGAGAATGACTGAGAAGACTCGGTGAAATAACACAGGAGAGCTCAGCCACTTTGCCCAGAGTCAGGCCAAGAAAGTCCAGCAACTGTCAGCTCTACTTATCGTCTCCTGGCCCTCCCTGAGCTCCCCGATCTGGCCAGCCCTGGGAGGCTGGACCTCCCAGCATTCAGGGCTGGAGGTGACTGGCGGTTTTTGAGATTGAAGAACAGAGTGATCAGGTTTGGCCTAAGAGCACGAGGCAGGCTGTTCTTAGAAGGAACATCTGAGCTGGCCAACAGGTGTTGCCAGGAGGTAGGTGACCCTGGTGGAGGGAATGGTATATGCACTAGCCCCGAGGCAAGGAAGAGGGACAGAAAGGTCCAAGAGCTGAGGCCTTGTATCCCTAGTGAAGGGCTTGAGTATCCCCTATGAGTGCTGGGGAACAGTGTGAGGGGCTGCTACAGAGACTTGGGATCTTGTACCCAATCAGTGCTGACTCTCTGGAAGCCACAGTGATGTTCTCATTAAAGAAGTTTTGGGCTGGATGTTGTTAAAGGTGCTGGGTAACTGGCAGTGAGCAAAACAAAATCCTGCCTGGTGAAGCTGACATCAGGAGAAGGAAACAGCGTGATTCCATGCCAGATGGAGATAAAGGATGCTGTAAAGGAAATCAGGTAGGGTTAGGAGGGAGAGAAGGAAGGGATAGGACCTCATTTAGATGGAGGGTCAAGGAAAGTCTTCCCAAGTTGGCCATGTTTGAAAAGAAGCTTGAGGAAGTGAGGGAGGAATCCAGGCAGATGTCTGGGGAAAGACCTTTCCAGGCCAAGGGAACAGCAAAGTGCAAAGGCCCTGAGGCAGGAGTGGGCCTAATGTGTTTGAGAACCAACAAGAAAGTGTGGCAAGAGCCAAGGGAAAAAGGGGAGGGGGTAGAAGCCAAGGTCAGGGAGGCAATGGGGGCAGGTGGTGAAGAGCCTTGGGGGCTTTGAAGATAGCTTTTTCTCTGAGTGGGATAAGAGCCACAGGAAGGTTCTGAGCAGAGAAAGACAACATCTAAGTTATATTTTTTAACACCTTTATTGAGAGAATTCCTGTCCCATTCAACCAACCTTGTGAAGTGTACAATTCATTGGCATTAGTACATTCACAGAGTTGTGCAGCCATCACCACAATTTTTAGAAAACACTTGCATTGCTCCAAAATGAAACCCCACATTTCTGAGCCATCACCCCCCAACTCATCCCCCATCTCCACCCAGCCCTATGCAGCCACTAATCTGCTTTCTGTCTGTGTAGATTTGCCTATTTCAGATATTTCATATAAATGGGTCATATGCTATGTGGTCCAAAGCTACTACTTTGTGAGTAGCTTCTTCCCGGTAGTATAACTGACATGTTATTTTGGTTGGACCTTGAGGCTCTGGTAGGGAACAGACTGTAAGGGGCAGGGGTGGAGGCTGGGGGCCCCACAAGGAAGCAACTGCAGTGGCCCAGGTTGGAGATGAGGGGGTTGGACCAGGCTGGGGATCATGGAGGTGGACAGAAGAGGTTAGATGTTGGGTTAGCCAATGGATCGCGTCTTGGGAAAGAGTGAAAGTTTTTGGCCTGAGCAGCTGGAAGGGTGGAGCCTCCATCAGTTGAGGTGGAGGTGGCTGAGGGGAGAGCTGGATGGGCTTGGGCTAGACCAGTAGCTCAGGGCAGGCAGGCGAGTCTGAGGCAGCATTAGATGAGAGAGGGGCTCTGACAGGTACACAGCTGGAGGGAGAGGTTCAGTCCAGCCTGGAGCCTCTGTATGCAGACAGCCTTCAAGTTCATGAGCATGAATAAGATTCCAGGTGAGAGGAGAGGAGGAAGCCCAGCAGGCATGGGCTTGAACTGGTACAGACCAGAGCTGAGATTGAAACCCTGCCATCCTGCTTGGCTAGAACCCCTACTTTCAACCACCAGAAGTCCCACTACTCTTCCAGCCACCCCACCTCTTTCCCAGACCTCACAGACCTCACAGACCGCAGGATCCAGCAATGTGGCCTGAGAGGTGTCTGTGGCAGAGTGTCCAGATGATTAAGGAGCCTTCTAGAACAATGGCTGTCTGGCTCAGCAGGGGACCTCCACAACCCTGTTTCACTAAGGCTGGCATCTTGGCCACCAGGTTGTTGTTAAATATATTGACTCCCTGCCCTGGGTACAAAGACTAACCTGTCATGGGGCTTCTGCTCCAAGTCATGGATTGCCTTAGGTTTTAAAAGGACGTCTCTGGAGCCAGGGTGGGTAGGAGATAGAAAGGGAAAGCATTTCGGGTCACACACAACTTACCTACATCTGTCTGTCTCTCCACAGATACGCCAGCCCACAGCAAGGGGGGCTCCAGCAGCCCAGACCCCTGGGCTGGGCCCTCCTGCAGTCCCCAGGAAGGGGGCTGCCCACTACCCAAGGAGCGTGAGTCCCCGCCCCCTCCAGCCCTGCAGACGGTCCAGCTGCCCCGCCTAGCCTTGTCTCCGCCGCCCCCAGCCCCTCCACCGCCACCACCCCAGCCACCGCAACAGATCCAAGTGGCACCCTCGCCTCCCAGCCCCCCGCCCCCTCCACTGCCTCCGCCCACGCCCTCGGCCCCAGATCCCTCCCTGGACTTCCTGCGGGCCCAGCAGGAGACTGCCAATGCCATCCGGGAGCTGGCTGGCACCCTTCAGCAGGGACTGGCCAAACTGAGTGAGGCCCTCAGCGCTCTCCTGCCCCTTCTACCAGGAACCCCAGTGGACCGGCTGCCCCCGCCTCCGCCCCCACCCCTACCCCCGCCTCCACCCCCCAGACCTCTCCTGCCCCCACCTGTCCCCAAGGTGGAGATCACCCCAGAGCCTGTGTCTGTGGTGGCTACTGTCGTGGACGGGGCAGTGGTGGCAGCCAGGGGGGTGATCATCGCCCCTAGGAGTGAGGAGGGGGTCCCCCGGTTGCCTCCAGCCCCACTCCCTCCTCATGACTCACCCCCACATAAGAGAAGGAAAGGATTCCCTATGAGGAAGAGGCGGGGGCGATGGAAATCTCCGTGAAATCTGATGTTGGGTTCGCTAAGCTCCTGCCTGCACCTTCTCCCCCAGCTTAGACCGGTGGGGAGGACCATGCACCTTCCCCATCCCAGCTGCACCCTGGCCCCCTGCTGCAGGGACGTGAGCACCCCACTCCCTGTACTAGTTAGTGCCTGATTCTCAGGGGGCCTCATTGATGAGTCCCCCAGCCCTTCAGTACAGCGCTGTCTGCCTGGCTGCGTCCCTTAACCCTGACTTCTAAGCCATCGATTTTATGTTATTTATTGTTGCCCATTGTGGGTTGCGGAGGGAACTTCTGGGGTGTGTACATTGCCCCTTCCCTAACAACTCCTGGTCCTGACTTGAAGAGAGTTGGCCCACAGGGGCCTCCTCACCTCCCCAACCCAGACTTTGGAGGGGGTGGCAGTTGCAAGACAAATCAGAATATGGATGACAGAGAGGATACAGCAGTCTGTACCCTAGGGAGAGGGGGGTGGAGTTCTCATTGGGAGGCTTGGGTTGGGCCCTCTGCCTCCCCTTGCAGAGCTCAACCCCCTCCTTTCTCACCAGTGGTGACAAGATATCAATAAACTTATTTTTAATACAATTACTTGGAGCTCTGTCTGAGACAGGCCTGGGGTTCCAGCACCTACACCTGCCCCACCCCTCCATGGGCAGGTGACACCCCTTGAAGTTGGAGTTGATGGTTTTCCAGCCTTTTCTTTTTCCCCTTAAATCTATCAAGTCCTATGTTCAGTTCTTACTACTACTTACTCATCCTTTAGATACCAGCCTAGATGTCATCTCCTCCAGGATAACATCCAGATTCCCTCTCCCAGCCTTGGATGGGTCTGCTTCTTAGATTCTGTGTCCTGTGATTCCGAAATGAACATGTGCCTTCATCTGTTTAAGGCATGTTTCCTCCCTAGTTTCACAAGGGCAGGAGCTGGTTCGTTGTTTTTTTTTTTCACTCCCAGACCTGCTGCAAAGCCTGATGGCAAAGTAGGTAATCACCCTGGACTCAGTCAGATCTGGCTCAAGCCCTGGTGCTGCCCTAGTCACCTGTGTGACTGTGGGCCTCTATTTTCCTCATCTGTAAAATGGGCTTAAAGATTTAGTTAGGAGTCTTTACTTTCTACAACTACATTTTCAGGTCCCAGCTCAAATTACCACCTCAGATAAGCCTTTCCTGATAACCCTCTCCCCCAGCAGTTATTTTAAAATGCATTAAGTAATAATTTCAGTATATTTAAATGAATGTCTGTCTCCATCACCAGGACAATCCTGATCAGGTCAAGGCCTGATCCTGTCTCAATCACTGCTGTGTTCTCAGCATAGCCCAGAATGGAAAAGGGGTTGAATCTTTGAATTAATGGGTAGTTTAAAAAACTTCTATTTTTGGTGCTCCTTTCCCGGGCCAGGTACTGTGCTAAGCCTCTCTATGCATGTTCACATTATCTCCTCAAGGTATCCAATGAAAAGCAGACCCTAGGCGTCGCCTATTTTTTCCTGAGAAGTTTAGGGACTTGCCCTAAACTTCTCAGGGCCAATCCCTGACGCCAGCCTTTGGCCAGAATTCTTGACTCTTACTAAGGCATGGCCCAAGGGTAATTTTAGGTGATACAATGGATGGCCTTTATAATGGTTCTAGATGTAGTTTTAACTTACTTCCTAAAAATATAGCTAAGACATACCCACGATTGTGCACATAAGACAGGCATACCTCATTTTATTACTCATCACTTTATTGTACTTCACAGACACTGCAGTTTTACAAATTAATGGTTTGTGGGAACCCAGCATCAAGTGAGTCTATCTGCACCATTTTTCCAACAGCATCTGCTCAATTCATGTCTCTGTGTCACATTTTGGAAATTGTCAAAATATTTCAAACCTCTTCATTGTATTTGTTATGGTAATCTGTGGTAAGTGATTATGACTTGCTGAAAGGTCAGGTGATGGTTAGCATTTTTGAGCAATGAAGTATTTTTAAGGTACACATTCTTTTTAAGAGATAATGCTATAGCACTTAGTAGACTACAGTCAGTATACAGTATACCATAAACTTAATTTTTATGTGCACTGGGACTAGCTTTATTATGACAGTTGCTTTACTGCCAGTGGTCTGGAACGGAGGGAACCTGCAATACCTCTGAGGTATGCCTGTATTGCTTAGGGTGAGGCAAAAGTAGGTAGTGCTTTTTTAAGAGGAGTCAATTTCAAGAAAAGTGTTAAAATACTACAGGTGTTAAGTAGAATTGTGAAGCTGGGACTGAAGTTTGGATAATAAAATCAGAGCGGCTATGGGTGCAATAGGAAGGAGGTGGGGGGCGACAGGCAGCCCCTGACTGGTTCGAAAACCACTCAAGAATGCAACTCATCAGATAAGTCATTCAGATATTTTTGAGCGCTTAACACGTACCCAGGCCTAGTAAGAGGAAGAGGCTGTGGGGGTTAGAAACAGACCTGTCTCTCTTCCCCCCACCTACTACCCTCAGCCTGCCTAGCGCTGTTCCCCAGGCCAGGAATTAAAAACGGGTCCCCAGGACCTGTTCGGGCCTATCAGTAAGCACTCAAGGTTGGAGTAAGGTGGTCTGGCGCTTGGGTCTCTTTCCCTACAACTCAATTCGTCTTCTCTGGTCGCCATTCCCTCCCCAAAATTTGGGTCAGGAAAGGGTGAGAATACCCTCTACCCTGTTCTCCGAAAACACTGAAAGGGGCCCCAGAAATTGAAGGTGGGAGGACAGACGGAATCGGGAAGGCCTCCCCCAACCTCCTAAACAGCGGAAGTGCGTCAGTTTGTTCTCCCCGCAGAGCATTTTGGGAACTGTAGTGAAATTGCGGGGCTGAGAAACTGGACCGCGTAACCCTTTGGAAACCAGAGCGCGACGGCAAGACTGCAACAGAGCTGGGATACGCTCAGCTATTCGCGTTAGCAGATGAGGCAACTGGCGGGAGGCCTTCAGTCCTCCTCTGTCTCCGGCTGTTGCCGGCCCCAGTTAAAGGCTGATAACCAGGAGTTGGGGTTAAACCAAGTGCCAAATGGCCAACTCCCCTCCACCAAATTGCCAGCTCTCAGCCCACGGAGCTGCTTCCTTCCTAACTAGTCATTGGCCCACTTTCGATGGGCGAGGAACCGAGCTTCGGAGTGGGCAATAATTTGCCTAAAGCAACGTGTATGCACAGCAAGTCGGAGCAGAAACAGGACGCGCGAAATCTTGTCCGCTCCCTAAAATTTCTGAATTCATGGTAGCTCTCACAGTTCGTAACACTTCTCCGCCTCCATCCCATGTGACGGAGCTCTCCGAAGCCCACTGAACTGCTTGCCCGGCAGCAAAGAGCGGTAACAGTTGCTAGCGCCACAGCCTGCCGTCCCCTTTAAGAAGGGACCCCGACGGGACTACATTTCCCAGAAGGCTTTGCCTGCGCGTTATGTAACTTTCCCTGCGAAGCGGCCTCTGGGGCAGAAGGAGGTGGAGGCGTCGGCCGTTGCAGCGGCGGCGGCGGCGGCGGCGGCGGCGGGAGCGGCGGGACCCCGAGGCGGCGCGCCCGCGGCCCTTCACGGGGCGCGAGCTGTGTGCGCCTCGGCCCGGAGCCCCGACCGGGCGGGGTCGCCGACGTGACTCTGCCTGCCTTTCCAAGTAGGCGGGAGCGAGGAAAAAGGCTTAGGGCCCAGGGGGCGGGGAAGGGGGGCCGGACCTGGATCCGCGGGGAGGCCGCGCCGGAGGCCCAACCGTGGCTCGCGCGGTCCCGGGGATACGAATCGACCGTCGGCTTCGCGAATCGAACGTCTGCGGCGGTTGGAATTCGGGGGCCCGGCGGCGCGCTCGCGGGGACCATGGCGTCGGTGCAGGCGTCCCGCCGCCAGTGGTGTTACCTGTGCGACCTGCCCAAGATGCCGTGGGCCATGGTGTGGGACTTCAGTGAGGCCGTGTGCCGCGGCTGTGTGAACTTCGAGGGCGCGGATCGCATTGAGCTGCTCATCGACGCCGCCCGCCAGCTTAAGCGCAGCCACGTGCTCCCTGAGGGCCGCTCGCCTGGGCCCCCGGCCCTCAAGCACCCGGCCACTAAGGACCTGGCGGTGGCCGCCACACAGGGGCCTCAGTTGCCGCCTCCGCAGGCCCAGCCACAGCCGTCGGGGACAGGCGGCGGCGTCTCGGCCCAGGACCGCTATGACAGGGCCACATCGTCGGGCCGCCTCCCCCTGCCTTCACCCGCTCTGGAATACACCCTGGGGTCGCGGTTAGCCAATGGGCTGGGCCGCGAGGAGGTCGTGGCAGAGGGGGCGCGGAGGGCCCTGCTTGGCTCCATGCCCGGCTTGATGCCCCCTGGGCTGCTGGCAGCTGCAGTGTCTGGCCTGGGAAGCCGAGGCCTGACGCTGGCACCCGGCTTGAGTCCTGTCCGTCCAGCCTTCGGCTCCGATTTCGAGAAGGAGAAGCAGCAGAGGAATGCGGACTGTCTGGCAGAACTGAACGAGGCCATGCGGGGCCGGGCAGAGGAGTGGCATGGGCGCCCCAAAGCTGTGCGGGAACAGCTTTTGGCGTTGTCTGCTTGTGCTCCTTTCAACGTCCGTTTCAAAAAGGATCACGGTTTGGTGGGACGGGTGTTCGCCTTCGATGCCACTGCCCGCCCGCCAGGCTATGAGTTCGAGCTGAAGCTTTTCACCGAATACCCCTGTGGTTCTGGCAACGTGTATGCAGGAGTCCTGGCCGTGGCTCGCCAGATGTTTCATGATGCTCTTCGGGAGCCGGGCAAGGCACTGGCCTCATCAGGCTTCAAGTACCTCGAATATGAACGCCGACACGGCTCAGGGGAATGGCGCCAGCTGGGGGAGCTGCTAACAGATGGTGTCCGCAGCTTCCGCGAACCAGCTCCGGCCGAGGCCCTGCCCCAGCAGTACCCAGAACCGGCCCCTGCTGCTCTATGTGGCCCACCCCCTCGAGCCCCATCCCGGAACCTGGCGCCCACACCCCGCCGTCGCAAGGCATCCCCTGAGCCTGAGGGTGAGGGGGCTGGGAAGATGACCACCGAAGAACAGCAGCAGCGGCACTGGGTAGCACCAGGTGGCCCATACTCTGCTGACACCCCTGGTGTGCCCTCACCCATTGCTGCCCTGAAGAATGTGGCTGAGGCCCTGGGCCACTCCCCCAAGGACCCTGGTGGGGGTGGGGGCCCTGTGCGTGCTGGGGGTGCCAGCCCTGCAGCCTCCTCCACAGCCCAGCCGCCAGTCCAGCATCGTCTAGTGGCCCGCAACGGTGAGGCAGAAGTCAGCCCCACAGCGGGGGCGGAAGCTGTTAGCGTGGGTGGTGGCAGCACCGGGGCGACCCCCGGAGCCCCCCTGTGCTGTACCCTATGCCGGGAGCGGCTGGAAGACACCCACTTCGTCCAGTGCCCCTCTGTGCCCGGACACAAGTTCTGCTTTCCCTGCTCCCGGGAATTCATCAAGGCACAGGGCCCGGCTGGCGAGGTGTACTGCCCCAGTGGAGACAAGTGCCCGCTGGTGGGCTCCTCTGTCCCCTGGGCCTTCATGCAGGGCGAGATCGCCACCATCCTTGCTGGAGATATCAAGGTTAAGAAGGAACGAGACCCCTAGGTTACCACTGCCAC